TAGCTGTGTGTGTGTGTGTGTGTGTGTGTGTGTGTGTGTGTGTGTGTGTGTGTGTGTGTGTGTGTGTGTATGTTAGGGTGTTTCGTCTGTGCATGTATTTTATGTCCTTGCATCGCTACACAACTTATTAAATGATGTAATTCTTGGAGACGTTTTTTTGTTAATGTTGCTTTGAAAATATTGTCATCGATATACATAGAATGATCAAGAGCGGGTGATTGCCTGATGCTGTTGGGTGATTTGCTCCATCTTTCCAACCAAACACCTATCTTACTTTTCTCTCCTCCTTCCCCTTCCTTTTTGTGTGTTTTACTCTCTTGTAACACCTATAATTTTTGGCACCGATACGGCCTAATTGTGTTGCAAGCGCCGCAAAACGCGTACTAAAAACTCACAGCACCATTAAATGACAATAATAATGGATATAATGTATATGTAGCACTATCACAACACAAATTCCACCTCAACAGCAAGCTCTATGCGCTTTACAAACCATACCATAATACTATAATCCCAGCAGACCTGACGGCATTCTCAAACAATCTCAACTTCTTGGGAAGCATGCAGTGCGAGCCGCTATTTTATAGGCGCTAAAACACTAACAACATACAGACAAGCTAACGCACGACAGATAAACTAGCTTGAAAAAGATAATGAGAATAAAACCCTGTTTTGCACATTGTTAACGTGCTACAATGATAGCTTTAGTCAGACCCCGGCACAGATGAAACTGACCCAACATTCTACTTTTATTCCTTTTTTCTTGATTCCCGTAGGAAAATTTGATTTAAGCTTGCAATAGCGTAACATCATATTAGGCCTATACATACAGGTACATAACTACAATACATGAATACGTAGATACATAATACATGTATACAGAGTGAAACATACAGGTGTGCTTCCAACACGTCATTGTTGGTTGTCACTGTGCAGTGCCCTATGTTTTTTTCATTCGTTTTGTTTTGTTTTTGTTTTTTTAGTTTATTATTGTTACTGCTTATTTTTAATTTTTTTAGCTAGGGTTATATCATCTTGCCCAAGGACACATCCCTGCGACTACCCACCTAAACATCTCAATGCTGTGCCACCGACGACGTATGCTGACATTAATTTATTAAGAGCCTGAGCTTTTTCATTACTTGATTACTTAATGATTCAGTAACTGGGGTCTTCATAGACTGATTCTGCTTTCGTCTCCACTTTCTGTCCCCCCCCCCCCTCACCCACTTTGCCCCCTCCTGTGGGCTCCTGACTCCTTCTGCAGCCTTTATACTGCTACACCTTGGCTCCTTCTTACTGCTGTCTTTCAGCCACAGCCCTGATCTTCTGATAGAAAAGATCTACACCTAGCCTTCTCGGACAAGGGTGGAAAATCTCGGAGGTTCCCTTTGCAAGTTGAGCACGTTAAAGATCCCTTGGTGGTCAAAAATCGATAAGAGTAGGCTTCGGCCGCCACCCGGGCAAAATTCAAAATTCCCCTCTAGCTGAAAATGTTTAATGTGTCTCGTGCGCTCACACAACCTTATGCAGTTGCGTGCGCCGTAAATCACTTACCAAATTATATGTTTTTAAAAAAACCAAACTGATTCTATTCAAAACTCCTCATCCCTCCTTGGCAGGGTCCATCTTAAGGTATTCATACCGTTGGTCTCTATCATTACTATCAGTAACCAATTGCTGATTCGTCTGCCAGGGTTGTGGGGGGTGACCTCTCTAAGCTCGCGGCTACAGCAGACCTTTATCTATAAGTAAGGGAAAGAAAATTGGGAAACAGCTAACATAAACCTCTTGACTCCGGTTTGAGGATCCTGTGTCGGAATCTCCGCAACTTCATATTAATAAGACTCGAAAGGAAAAATCAGGATAAATGATTATAAGGGAGTGGAATATGACTTGTATTTTCTAAGTCTTTAGCCTGCTTGTCAACTTGCTACTTACAACTTGATTACGAAAGCCTCAAAATACCTGCCACTGCACTGTCCACCTACTGAGGTTCTCTCTTTACTTGTCTTGGCCCTATAGAATAGACGGGGGGTGCCCATTGGAGGATCGGGTCCGGTCGGGTCGGTTAGCTAGCCAAATTGAGGGCACAAAGCGACTATTGTGGTACAAGCTGATCTTACCCCGACTTGTCACCTCAAAAACAAACGCGTTTGTTTTCAGGCCACGAGTAGGGCTATCGCCCCCGACCCGACCCGACCCGACCCGACCCGACCCGACTCCATCCGTAATGGGCACCCCGTATAACAATAACAAGACCACCTTAGCAGAGACTGTGCCCTCAATTTCGGAACTTCACGGTGATATTAAAGACGGTTCCAGTGGTGAACAGGATAGAGTGTGCCCGCGTCCCTCGTGAGGCACTGGAGTATAGGAAGATAGGACTAACGTTAACATAAAATAAACTCAACTGACAGTGAGTGAACGCAGACCTCCTCAATAATTATTTCATAAACGCCATCTCACATCATCACTCACCACCACCATCATAATAAAATCATCATTGCTCTCAGATCCTTGACATACATCTATATTTCTCTAATTTCCACCTGTAACAGTTACATGTTACAATGATTATGTACGTAATACACTATTGGACACTATCATTATCACACACAGCTTTTTCTGCTACTGAGACGACGCCAATCTCATAGAAAGGGGAAAGGGACCACAAAAAAGGATACAGAAAACATGTATGTTAGATTTTTGTCCGACTTTTAAAAATCCAATTCACAAAAATATGCTGCCTATTTCCTTTCGTTAAGATACCATTTAAGTATTCAATTCTTGACAAATTACCTCTGTGTGGAGGGTAGTTTTTTTTGTTGTTT